AGGTTGAAAGCAACCCGTTCACCACCACTCTCTGGGCGCAACCATCCAGCCAATTTGCCACCCCTCTGACTGTGTAGGCATCAGTGCCGCAGTCGCCTAGTTTATTTATGAGAATGGGGTGAGAAACAGTGTCAAAGGCCTTCTTGAAGTCCAGGTAGATAACATCTACCACAATGCCCGCATCCAAGGACTTTGTGACCTGGTTGTAAAAGGAAAAATGAAAACTAAAGCTGTGTATGTACTATGAGAATAAGAAAGTGAGACTTAGAGCATATAATAGGAACATGATTGCACCCAAGGGTGTTTGTGCACTGCATGTTAGACACAAGGGTAATAAAGTCAACATTCAGTTTGTAACACTCCCAGAAAAACTAGTGCCAATTACTGGGTTGAGAATGTGTAAAACTCTAGGTTTGATTAAGAGATTGGATGTCATTGAGGGACTAGAAAACAAGAACATTGAAGAAGAGTTTTATGATGTGCTTCAAGGCATAGGGAAACTGTAAATTGAGTACAAGATAGAATTAAGAGAACCAAATACTCAACTCACACCATACATGCTCCAAGAAATGTTCCCCTTGTACTAAGGGGGAACCTGAAAAAGAAATTAGATAGATTAATTAACACGGACATAATAGAAAAAGTAGAGCAACCAGCTGCTTGGGTTCATTCACTGGTCATAATAGAAAAAAAAGATGGATCCTTGAGATTGTGTCTGGATCCTAAGCAAATGAACAGGTACATCAAAAGGGAGCATTTTCCCATTCCCAACAGGGAAGAGGTTTTTGGCAATGTGGCAGAAGCTAAGTATTTCTCCACTTTGGATGCCTCTTCTGGGTTTTGGCAAGTTCCCCTACAGAAGAATAGCACTAGATTAAATACCTTCAATATGGCCTTCAGAAGATATTGTGTTCATAGGCTTCCTTTTGGGTTGCATTCTACATTTGACGTCTTTCACAGAAAGGTGCAACAAATTTTTGAAGGTTTTGATGGAATTATGGTTTATATTGATTAGTTTGGGGAAATACTATGGAAGAACATGACCTGAGGCTAAGAAAGGCACTAGAAAGGGCTTGCAGAGCAGGTTTGAAACTGAACAAACAAAAATGCAAATTCAGGGTCAAAGAAATAACATATCTGAGAGAAAAACTCTCTGAGAAAATGGTGCAAGTTGATCCTGCAAGGGTTAAAGCCATTACAAACATGCCACTCCATAGAGATAAGAAAGGAGTGCAATGATTACTGGGAATGATCAGTTTTGTAGGCAAATATCTATCTAATTTAACAGAGCAGACATAGTATATGTAAATCTAATTAAAAGAGTGATCCCTGTCACAGATAAAATGTGGGCGCTAATTGCAGAAGCTACTGCTCCAGGGCACCACATTGCAAAACGTGGTAACAGTTATTTGTGCTGGTTGGCCTGGAAAACATATACCTAGCCCCTACTCTCAGTTCAAAGAAGCGCTGTCAGTACTGGCTAGCATTTTGTTCAAAGGCTCACAACCTGTTCCAACAGTGCTAAGGCAAGACATGTTAAACAGAATACATGAGGGGCATCTAGGCACTGAAAAAAGCAAAAGGAAAACAAAGGGTGTTCTACATTGCCCAACATAAATAATGACATAGAAAATGCTGTAAAGGCTTGTACAACGTGTCTCAAGTACAGATCAATGCAAAAAAAAAGAGCCCATGGTAGTCATGGAGGAGCCGGTAACTCGGTGGTATCAAGTGGGCATTGACTTATTCATGCATGCAGGAAAAAATATGTATTAGTGCTGGATTATTATTCGCACTATCCTGAAATTGCATTGCTTAGAAGCACAACAGCAAACCATGTCATAACTCACATCAAATTGATTTTTGCTATACAAAGGATTCCACAAATTGTAAGAATAGACAACGGACCTCATTTCAACTGTCTTGATTTTAAAGAGTTTGCAAACAAATATGGATTCTGTCACAACACTGCAAGTCCTAAATACCCACAATCCAATGGTCTGGTGGAAAATGGAGTACAAATAGTAACGAAATTGTTGAAAATAGCTACAGATTCACACACTGATGTTTACCTGTCCCTCTTAAATAACAGGGGCAACACCCATGAAACATGGATTGTTCTCAGCAGAAATGCTGTTTAACAGGAAACTCAAAACCAGGCAGCCAATCTTGTGTATGATGCTCATCAGAACGAAAAGGAAGAAATGAAAACATTAAAAAAAATTCAAACAAATATGGTACTATGACAGGCATTCCAGGGAGTTATCATAAGTGCACAACAAAGATATGGTGCTAATTTCAGATGGATAAACGTGGAAACAAAAAGCATTCATTTCTCAAGTAGCTCCCAGATCCTATAAAGTAGTTACACAGGTAGGACAGGTGTTAAGAAGGAACAGACAACACTTGCAGCTCATAAAGGGGAGAGAAGCAGCATCAGGAGATTCACCAAAGGAAACAGAGATGAGATCAAAGCAACAAGAAATGTGAGAGGAGATTGAAAATGACTCAGAAGTAGAGAAATCTGAACAAGGAAACGAAACAAGAGCTGAACCAATGAAGATTGAGAATGAAGAGAAACTGAGAAGACCGCTTAGAGCTAAAAAGCTAACACAAAGACTAATAGAGACCTGTTAAAATGTACTTTAACTATGGGTTGAACTAAACTTCAATGTTAGCACTATATGGGGATATGTTACATGTAAAGGGGGAAGATGTGTGGATACCTTTAAGAGTGTTATGTATAAGTTGTTACATTTGTCCCTGGATTGCAGGAGGGAACAGCAGAGCTGTAGGCAGGGTACTGCTCTCTGAATAAACAAGCTTTATCAGTTTATAAACTTAACTCCTTGGTCTTTTGAGAACAACACACAAACCATGCATCACAACCCAGATGTGCTTAATTTTCTCCTACACATATAAATGTTCTTAGGCTTTGACTCCATGGAATGAAAAAAAGAAAGAAAAAAAAAGAACAATTTATTGAATTCCCCTTGCTTAGTTTTAGTTTTAAATAACCATTCAGTTACACAGATATACATCATAAAATAAACAGCCCAAAGAAGCCATAATTTTAAATATGTATGTATTGTGCTCTGACAAGGGCCCATAATTTTCAGTCTTCACTAATTTTGTATGTCTCAGGATTTGGCTGCCCATTTTGTGCCTGAGTTTCAGAGAGTCAGAGGACTTACTGACTCTCTGACTTACTGACTCAAGAGGCAAGTAAATGGCGAGGGGGAACTAGGATTCTGAAACAGGGGGTGCAGATGAGATGGTGTGATACATCATCACAAACACAACACATTTTTCTCCAGTTGAAAAGAAACTAGAGACTTTACTAATATACCTAAGGCTATATTATTCTATTTTAAATTGAAGCAAAAACAAGTATAGCTGTAGTGGAATGTGCATTAATTTTTTATATCATATACAGGGTATAAAAACCCCCACAAGAAACTAGGCAAAAATAATCCAAAGATGTTGTTTCATTAGTTCTGTACCCATTAGTGTCACGGTAGGGGGCCCCCAGGAATGACCGTGATGACTCTAGGGCTTCATGACCGTGCCTGCTCCACCCTGTGGGCACCTTCTAATCTCTTCTGCCACGTCTTGTTGGTTGAAATAATAAGTTGGGAAGTTGCCCATGAGTTTGTGTGGTCATGGTCCTGTTGAACCCCACTAGATCCTGCTGATCTTGGATCCCTTGCTGGGTCTCACTCAGTACCTCTCAAGACACCCTAAGCCTTATGGCCAGATGTGTGGCTCCAAACCACGTCCCACGCCTCACAGGTGGTATTCAAACGTTGTCCCTCTGAGGCCTTGATCTAGCTCAGCCTCCTGTCGTCACTGGGCCCTTGGCCTCTGTCTATGTGCCTTCACTGGTGCTGAGCTCTCCGTGCCCTGTCTGCACACCCTCACTGGTGCTGGGCTCTCTATACGGTAGTATGCCCCCAATGAGGCCTTCCCCTCCCGAATAACCTCAGCCCAGTCCACCGGATTCAAATAACAATGTAAATACAAGCCCCTGGGCTATAACATAACAACAACAATAACATTGGAGGTCACATCCTGCCCCTTTAAGGAGGCAAGCTTCTCCTTCAACAATATCTGCCTCCTAGCCCCAGATACCTTAGGAGCTCCTAGAGTTTATTAGATTTATCAGCAGCAGAATAGGCAACCAAGCATCTCCAAGTGGCATTTCTGCAAAAGCTCCTTCCTCCTGGCTGCTGACAGAGAACTAACCTCCTCCCAGCCCCAGCCCTGGGGCTTATATATGCCCAGGTCCCTGTTTCCTTCAGGTCAGCTGACCAGGTGCAGGTGCCAGCTAATACCCTAATTAGCTTACTGCCAAGGCAACCTGAAGCTGTGGAGCCCTGCCTAGCTCTCAGGGCTCCCTAGCTAAGCTGCCTCTGCTCTTGAAGGAGCCGGCACACCTTAGCGCTCTACGACAATTAGAATAAAATTATATCTCATTTTCAGATTCATAAAACAAAGTCTAGCCTTCTTGAGCACCTTGACAGTGCTCTTCAGTGATTCACTGAAAGTTATTTCCACTCCTGATTCAATGTTCACCTGAGTTAACATTTCCGCACCTGAGATAATGTTTTTAGCTAAAGTTAAAAACAGTCTGCAGAGTTGTGAAATAGGAGCTAGGTTATCAGGAGCAGCTAACAGACAGCAGAACTGCAGGAGAAAGGATAGTTTCATTAATGGAACATCAAGACCATTAAAAAGGGGAGAGGGCCATTAATACCTGTGGAGTGAAGTGTTTAGAAAGAATCGGGTAGATTTATATTGAGCCATGAAGCCAAGTGACTCCATCCCTGCTGTCTGACTAGAAATATGCTGCCACTGCTACGTAGTTGGTTTTCAACTTTGCGTGAACCTGGAATCAAAGTGGAATACCACTGCACCCTCTCTGGATCTGTCCCTCAGTGAGTACAAATCTCTAGTAATTCCAAAGAAGGCAATAGAATTATTCAGGTTTTACATTAGTATCACAGATTAGGAGAGGAAGGAAGCTCTAGCACTTGGGACACTACAGTAGAACTCAGCCTCCGGGGGCATTTTTACACATGCATGCGTCAGAGCACCAGGCACTTTTCAAACTGCGCCACTTGCAGTTGTATAAGTGGTGAAATGCATGTCAGCGCTGAGAAAACGGCAGCGGCACACTTTTGAAGTAAAACACCTTAGAGGTGTTTTAGTTTACAAGCATGTTGACGCCATTTTCTGCGCTCTGATGTGCATTTCACCACTTATACAACTGCATGCAGTGCAGTGCGGTTCGCCTCAGCTCATGTGCGGGGCAGACTCAATTAATCGAGTCTGCTCAAAAGCGGTTGATCTCCGGCACGTCGCTGGAAAAAAAGCATGTGTATAAATGCTCCAGGTTTCAATTCCCTGCTCTGCTGGAGATTTCCAGCGTGACCCTGGACAAGTCCTTTAGTCCAGGATCTTTTTTCTAAGTATTTAGGTGCCAAATTTCCATTGATATGAATGTGACATGGATACCTCAATATTTAAAAAAATTGGGGTATTAGCATGTTAATGCCTTAGCTTTCTACTTTACAAGTACAGTGCTAAGATAAATACACTAAAAATATTTAGAGATTCTCATGCCTGCATCCTTCAAGACATTTAAGCACCTAGTTCCTGAAATCCCTTTCAAGGACTTGAGCTTCAAATACTATGGTGATGAGATCATACTAATGCCATAATTAGAGCTGAACTTCTCTCAGTAAGTTCAAACAGGCTGTTATTCCTGAAAAAAAAAATCACTTCCCCAAAATAAAAAAAAAAATTAAGACTACTTAAACAGCAGGGCATGCTTTTCACTGTAGTAAAAAACAGTTCATTGGAATTCTTAAGCACTTCTTAATCCAAAACTCTGTAGACTAAAGTTTTTGATCAGGTAAAATGCCAACCAATTTCAATAGGAACTAAAGACTCTTGGCACATCTGAAAATCAGGCGCAAGGAGCCTTGCATTGCAGACACAGTTTTAAGACAATGTAACTGTGTTCGAACCACTGAAACAAATTTATCCTGTGCAGGCTGAGGATTGGGCATTTACAGTTCCTTTTTAAATCTACATTCTGCTAAAATCAGGCTAATCTATATTTGAAGAGAAGTGAAGTCCATCCTACCTGGTATCCTATTAAGTGTCACCCAAAAATGTTCATCTGGACTGTAGGTATCTCTGGACCAAGCAAGCAAGTCAGTAGCACGTTGATCTTTGAGAACAAATGTGATAAATTTCCTTGTCAAAGCAATATAAGCAGAGCCAAAGTAGATGGTTAGATTGTAGGGTGGCAGCATTTTCAACCTTTGGGTGTTTATCATATATGATGAGTCACTTCCTATGTGTTCCCTGTGGATGTATTTGGTCCTTCCAATAACATGAATGGGAGGCAATCCTCCAGGGGTGATGTTTTTCCCTTTAAAGCCTTTCAGGTACCAAACTATTTCTCTGTTGGTCTTTAAGGGGAAATCTTGCCCGCACACATTGAGAACATATTTCCACTGCACCCTTGATTCCAGGAGGTCTTTCATGCAGTTCAGATCAGCCTGAAGTCGAGATACGCCAGCATAAACCACTAGCTCCATTTGGGAGGCAAGAAAAGCGTTAGGGAAACAGCTCACTAACTTCTCCACATCTTGCTTAAACTGAGCTGGTGCCTTCTTATCCACATGGATGCAGTACACATTTTGGGGCATATAAATAGCCCTGAAGAGTCTCTCAAAGGTCTCAAATTCTTTATGTAGAGTCATGACGTAAGCTAACGGAAATACAGCTTCCTCTGCAGAGAGAGAGCTTGTTACATAGTGATTCTGAATAAAATATTCTTTGCAAGCAAATCTCCACAGGGATGATGATAATGACGAGCCTGATATTTTCCATAGAGAAGATGCCTTTCCTTCTACAATTCCATTGCACACCTTTGCTAAGGCAGAACTGTTTGCCACATTGAGCCTGTGAAGGCTGTTTTGCTCTTTTAAATTAAGAAGATAAAATATAAGAAAGCCTGCAATGCTAAGAACCAGAATGACATAAAGAAAGCGCAAGTATAAATACATGCTCTTTAAAAAAAATCCTTGTTTTTCAAAGATATATAACAAAGACAGAATAATGCTGTCTGTCAGCCTGGATTTCCTTCTTGGTTAAATCCTAATCATATTCAGCTGTGGGTTTTTTTCTGCCAAGAAACAAGTCAGCAGTATTTATAGTATGGTTCACAGTCTATTGATTCCTTCTGTCCTCCTTGTTCTCTTCTTCATCAGTTTCTCCCTTTTTGCCTCTCCCCAAGTTCCAGTTGCAAGTTAATTCACTCACAGGCTCTCTCTGTTGATGTAATAGAATGATATTTCCTTACAGTACATCCTCTCCGCCTACATTTTCTTGAACTTAGACTTTTGTCATCATATTGTGACATACTCTTCTGGGAAGCCAGGTTCATTTGAATAAGAAAGCTTGCTTTACCATTTCCTGTGAAGGACTTGCACTGCACTATATAAGGTGTGTGTGTGTGTGTGTGTGTGTGTGTGTGTGATTCAAGCACTGCAGACCGACCAAGCCTATCCTTACTTAAGAAACCACATTTTTGTAAGCATTGTGCAGGAAAGAAATCCCTGTAGAGCTATACCTTTCTCAAATCCAAGAACAACACGCGACAATTCTGGGGTGGAGGGTAGGAAGAAAAAGAGATGGAGCAGGTTATTATGATAAACAAACAAAGGTGTAGATATAGCCTTGTAAATGACTTTGTTTAGTTTGAACTGTGGTTAGAAAGGCTGGTGAGGTTATCAGGAAAACATCTGGTTTTGTTTATGTCTTTTGCAGTACTTTCCATACAGTCAGCAGTCAGTGTCACTGTTTCTTCTATACACTGACAGACTGAGGTCAGAAGTCTGTAGAGAGTGGAGGACAAGCACCCCAGAAACAGATTTGTACAGCCCAAGCACAGCCCATCACACCAAATTAGTATGTTTTAATTAAGCAGAGGATCATACAGACCTTATGCTCTGCTGACTGCAATGAGAATTTTGCCTGAGGAAATGATCAGGCACGTATTTAAGCAATGACAATTAACCCCCCACTCCAACACCCCCCCCAAAAAAAAACAACAACAAACTACTGTATAAATAATAATATTCTCATGATATTCCATGCTGAATGAAAAACATCACTTTATTTCATTACTACTTGCTCTCCTTCATCTTCTGATTTTTTATTTGATACTATGTAAAATTTATAATAGTGCCAAAAGGAGAGATTTTTAAAGCTGTTTATTCACCTCAATCTCATTGATATCAGTGGGATTTAGGCATCTAAATAGTGGTACATGTAAAAACTTAGTCCTAGGTGAGGTAGAAGTCTAAATCCTTTTGAAAGCCAATGGACCCTAAATTTGCTAAAACTTTAACTTCTTGTGGATATCTTATCCAATACCTAGATTAAAAAAAAAAAATCCTAGTTCTTCCTTTCTTGCTTTTTTCAAGCTGTTAAACCAGTTGACACAAGCTGAATGTTTCCAGGTTAAGCAACATTGATGATAATACTACCGCAGATGAGATAAGCAAGAGTCATTGCCATTACTATTTATAAATTAAGTCAGTTCCCTGAAAGATACCCTAAAGATCGTCCCATTTAACTTTAATATGTGCATGACCAGCCCTGGAACATATTTTAGAACTGGTAGATGAGTCTGTACATAGTACAGTAGTATACTGCATTGATTTATTATAGGCAGGACTGGTAGCTCCACCTATTTTTTTAAAGATTGTCTGATACTTCACAACTATTTTTCATTGCTTATAACTTTATCGGACTTCAACTATTTGGGCAGGCATTTTCTCTGCTGGATTTCTGCTTCAGTCTGAACCTGTTTGGAAAGTTTCTGCTGAAATGGTTCAAATGAAAATACTTTATTTTGCCCACATTTAACAATTCTGACAATCTTTTCTTTGGAGAAACTGTAGTGCCCCTACATTTTACAGCATAGATTCAAATTTGGTGGCAGGGTGGTCTTTTTGTCAGAGGGATTCCATTTTTTTTCTCATTTGGCTAAGTTAAAAGCTTTTGAAAAACTGGAGTTCATGCATGTTCAGTAGAAACTTGGTGGAGCTTCATGATACTATCTACAAAGATTCCATCCCTGCTGGGCATGCTCCAGGCTTGGGTTGAGCAGGACAATCTGCAAGTGCACTGTGAATGCTATAGGCAAGTCTGGATGCCAGAACTGAGAGGAAGGAGACCACCTCTCATCTGTGTTGTTAATGTCTCCTTCTGCTGGCTCCAGGCCACATGGAGGGAAGAATTGCCTGATCCCAGTTCAGAGGAGAAGAGATGGAGTGGCATTAAGAGAATGGAACTGGAGACTTGGCAGGGTAGAGGGAAATCGGGGCTGAGAGTAGATGGGCAGAGGAGACTGCCTGGTGAGATGACGGAAAGCCAAATATGGAGACAGGGTCTGGCAAGGCAAAGAGGCTAGGACTAGGAGCTGAGTTAGTCTGGAACTAGCTGGGCAAGGAGACCAGAAAACAAGCGAAAAAGGGCAATGAGACTGGACCTGAGAGAGTATAAAATGGTAGAAAGCACTGGTCTGGAGGGCGGGTAGTCTGAATGAGGAGCTAGGAGTTGGCTAAACTAGAAGTTTAGGATGGTAAAAACAGTTAACGGTTCTGAAAGTACTTACACCTTAGACAATAGCTGCATCACATTACTGAACCTGGCAGTAGAGATAAGGTCTGGATGAAATCAGGATGGCTTGGCAGTAGGCTGGCCTGGGAATTGTCTAAAATAATCAAGGGCTTATCTCTCTGTGTCTGGTTGTGTTGGTACTGAGCAAGATAAATCAGAAATGTAATAAACAAATTTAATGAATGATTCATTAAAAAGTATAGCTTGGATACTGGAAGATTAATTCATGGTATCTGATTACCTGAGTTTCTGGCATGCTCAAGGGCAATATCCTCTGTTCCCCCCTGAGTCTCCTCATCCTTTGAAGTTTGATGCTCAGTTCAGGGAGTGGGAATGGGTGGGTGGGACTTATTGCTTTGATGGCATGACTAAGCTCTCTGCTGTCATGATGTAGTCAAATCCCTGCTCTACAAGTTTAATGGTGATGCCATGGTACCTGGCCTGCTTAGCAGCATTATTTATTATATTTATTATAATAGAATCTAAGAGCCAACCAAGAAAGGGGCCTCACTGGCTTACAGATGCTTTGCAAACATACAACAGCAAAAAATACTTGCTACTCTTCCATCCCAACACAGTTTTTGATTTAGAGTGTGGGCATGAGAACATTATGCTAGGAACTTGTTAGGGAAGCACATGGGATCAAGACCTCACCTGTAATGTGATTCCTTCACAAAGTTCTATAATCACATTGTCCCATCCATACTACAAATAAAGTAATAGATTACTTTACAAATAAAGTAATAGATTTCCAAAGGGCAGGCAGTCAGCAAGGGTAAAATGACCCCAGCAAGATAGGCATCCAAGTGTTTCTTAAAGGAATCCAGAGTAGGTGCCTGCACCACCTCTGGGGGGAGTCTATTCCAGGCCCTGGGGACTCGGACAGTAAAGAAGTTTTTCCTTATGTCCAGCCTAAAGTTGTCTTGCAAGACTTTGTGACCGTTGAACCTAGTCTTCCCATGGGGTGCCCTGGTGAACAGACATTCTCCCAGTTCCTGGTGCACACCCCTTATGTACTTATAGGCAGCCACCAACTCACCCCTGAGCCTACACTCTTCCAGGCTGAAGAGTCCCATGTCTCAGCCTCTCTTCATAAGGCCTGGTCTCTTGTCCTCTAATCATTTGTGTGGCTCTCCTCAGGACTCTCTCAAGCTTCTCCACATCCTTTCTGAATTGCGGAGCCCAGAATTGGATACAGTATTCCAGCTGTGGTCTCACCAAGGCTGAGTAAAGTGGAAGGATGACTTCCTGGGTCCTGTCTGAGATGCATCAGAAGATGCAGGCCAGTGTTTTGTCTGCCTTGCCAGCTGTGGCATCGCACTGGTGGCTCATGCTCGTTTTGTGGTCAGTCATGACCCCCAAATCTCTTTCAGACGTGGTGCTAGCAAGCATGGCACCGCTAAGCCTATAAGTGTGGTGTGGGTTCTTTCTCTCAGGGTGGAGCACTTTGCATTTCTTGGCATTGAATACCATAAGGTTTTGATTCACCCACCTTGTAAGCCTGTCTAGGTCAGCCTGGATTGCCAGCCTGTCCTCTAGGGTGACCGCACTTCCCCATAGTTTGGTGTTGTAAGCAAATTTAGCTAGTCTTCTTTTGACACCAGAGTCCAGATCATTTATAAACACATTGAAGAATATAGGTCTGAGAACGGAGCTCTGGGGGACGCCACTGGTTACAGTGCACCAAGTTGATTCGGTTCCATCGACTATCACTCTCTGGGTCCATTCATGGAGCCAGTTCCCCAGTCATCGGACGATGAAATTGTCTAGGCCACAATTCCTCAATTTTTTCATGAGGACATCATGGGACATCAGGTCAAAGGCTTTCTTGAAGTCCAAAAATATGATATCCACCTCTTCTCCTTTGTCATGGTGATAGGTCACCTGGTCATAGAAGGAAATCAGGTTGGTCAGACAAGATCTACCCGCCACAACATCGTGTTGGCTATCCCTCAGAATATTATCTTCTGTTAGGTTGTTCGTAATGTTTTCCTTGATGATTTTCTCCACGATCTTTCCAGGGATTGAGGTCAAGCTAATTGCCCTGTAGTTCCCTGGATCTTCCCTTCTCCCTTTCTTGAAGATAGCCACCACATTAGCCCTTTTCCAGTCATCAGGCACCTCGTCCAAGTGCCACATGTTCTTTAATATCCTCACCATAGGTTGTGCTATAATGTCAGCTAGTTCCTTTAGCACTCTGGGGCACATTCCATCTGAGCCGCCTCATTTGTAGATGTCCAGCTCTCTCAAGGTGTTCCCTCACAAGATCAGTGGTAAGGATGGGTCCAGGTTCGCCCTTCCCCTGGTGATCCTGCCTCTGATCAGGCAAGGTGATCCCATTGGGTTGATGGGAGACCGACATGAAGTAGTCATTAAGGAAATTTCATAGATTTCATAGACATCAGGGCTGGAAGGGACCTCATAAGATCATCAGGCCCAGCTCCCTGCCCAAGGGGCAGGAAGTCAGCTAGGGTCAAAGGATCCCAGCAAAGTAAATGACAAATGTTTCTTGAAAGTGTCCAGAGTAGGTGCTTGCACCACCTCTGGGGGGAGTTTGTTCCAGGCCTTTGGGGCTCGGACAGTAAAGAAGTTTTTCCTTATGTCTAGCCTAAAAAAGTCTTGCAGAAGTTTGTGACCATTGGACCTTGTCATCCCGTGGGGTGCTCTGGTGAGCAGGTGTTCCCCCAGATCCTGATGCACACCCCTCCTTATAGCCTGCCACCAAGTCATCCCTGAGCCTGTGCTTCTCCAGACTGAAGAGTCCCATAGCTCGCAGCCTCTCTTCATAAGACCTATTCTCTTGCCCTCTTTTTATGCACATGGATCTCTTTTGGACTCTTTCAAGCTTCTCCATGAGCTTCCTAAATTTTGGAGCCCAGAATTGGATGCAGTACTCCAGCTGTGGCCTCACCAAAGCCGAGTACAATGGGAGGATGACATCCTGGGTCTTGCTTCAACTGCAGTGGTAGATGCAAGCCAGAGTGTTGTTCATTTTGCCAGCTGTGGTACTGCACTGGTGGCTCATATTCATCTTGTGGTCAATCATGACCCCCAAGTCTCTTTCCGTCATGGTGCTAGCAAGTGTAGCATTGCTGAGCCTGTAAGTGTGATGTGGGTTTTTATTCCCAAGGTGGGGCAGCTTGCATTTCTCCATATTGAATGCTACCAGGTTTTCATCCACCCACCTCGCAAGCCAATCAAGGTCAGCCTGGATCAACAGCCTATCCTCAAGTGTGGAGACTCTTCCCCAAAGTTTGGTGTCATCAGTGAACTTGGCCAGTCCGCTTTTGACTCCAGTGTCCAGATCATTTATGAAGATGTTAAAGAGTACAGGTCTCAGAACAGAGCCTTGGGGGACACCACTAATCACCAAGTGCCATGTTGGTTCAGTTACATCAACTACTACTCTCTGGGTCTGACCTCAGAGCCAGTTCCCCAGCCATTGGACTGTGGAGTAGTCGAGGCCGCAGTTGCCCAATTTTTCCGTGAAGACATCATGGGACACCAGGTGAAAAGCTTTTTTAAAGTCCAAATATATGACATCAACCTATTTCCTTTTGTCCAGGTGACACGTCACCTGGTTACAGAAGGAAATGAGATTGGTCAAGCAAGACCTACCCGCAACAAACCTGTGCTGACTATCTCTCAGAATGCTGCCTTCTGTTAGCCTCTCAGGAATGGTTTCTTTGATATTTTTTCCCAAAATCTTCCCAGGGATTGAGGTCAAACTGATTGGCCTGTAGTTTCCCAGGTCTTCTTTCCTCCCTTTCTTGAAGATGGGCACCATATTGGCCCTCTTCCAATCTTCAGGTACTTCAGATTGCCTTTTTTCTGGGTGTTAGTTACCAGCTGTACCACTTGGTTTAGTAAGGGTCCAATGTTACCCTTGTTCTTTTTCTGACTTCCCACATATTTGAAGAAGGACATTTTATTGTCCTTGATTTGAGTGGCCAGTTTGAGCTCAGTTTCAGTCTTGGCTTTCCTAGTTTGCTACCTACAGGTGCAGGCTAGTGCTGAGTACTTCTCCTTAGTGGTCTTCCATCCTTTATAAGCTTCTTTTTTTAGGTGCAGGAGGTCCTTGAGTTCCCTGTTGAGCCAAGGGGTGTTATCCAGCCCTTCTGTGGGTTGGAATGGACTTCCCTTGTGCTTAGAGCAACCATTTATCATGGACATTCCTCCCTGCCAGATTGTGGTTTCTCAGGGCCTGAACAACTAGCCTCCTAAGCTTGTGAAAATCAGCCTTCCTAAAGTTAAGGACTTCCATATTGCTGACTGACTTGCCAGCTTTGTGGTTAATAGAGGAAGTGATCAACTCATGGTCACTGTCTCCCAGCTTCCCTTTGATTCTTGGGTTGCTAACTAGATCATCCCCTTTGGCCAGTACCAGGTCCAGCAGCACCTTGCCCCTTGTTGGTCTATAGATTTCTTGAGACAAATAAAGCTCATCAATGCTTGTGATGACCAAATAGTGTTGGTAAATAGTTTCTGCTGACAGTAACAGGCAATGATAATCCATAATGGATAAAAAAAAATACTATTTAACTTCTTCAGCAAGACGGATAACCTAGCATTAGGTCTACTCAGTAGTGTAACACAAGGTAGGTGGGCAGAGTACATGCCCTGGACACAGACTAAGGCAGGGGTAGGCAATTATTTGGGTCCATGGGCCACGTAGGGAGTTTTGTGGAGCTGTTTTGGGCCAGGTCAGCACCCCCTTCCCCATAACAGCTCACTAAACATCCCTTTGTGGGGTGGGTGGGGAGCTGGTATGGGCATGGTTGGGTGCCAACTTCAGCAGGGACACCACCAGCACCACCTTTGGGTCTCCCTCCTACCCTGAGAAGGATCTGGAGCCGCTGCCCAGCTTTGGGCACAGATGCAGCAGTGGCTGCGCAGAACCTGCTACTGGGCGCTGAGAAAGAGTGGGATCTGGTGGTGGGCATGGTCACCTCACCCTTGCCACTGCCAGGGCCTTCTTGCTGCTGCTGCTCACAACCCATGCTGGGGCTGCCCTGCAGCTCCTCCCTGCCACTGCTGCCACCACCACCCTGCCAGGTGTGGGGGCCTGGAGGTGACACGGGTGGCAGTGGTGGCAGCGGGTAGCTGCTGCAGGGCAGCCCTGACATGGGCTGCAAGTGGCCACAGTGAGAAGGCCCCAACAGCAGCAAATGGGAAGTGGCCATGCCAGGTCCCACTTTTTTCTTGCGCCCAGCAGCAGCTTCATCCCAGCTGTTGCCACTGCCACTCATTGTGACTGTGGTGGGTGGGTCTGGAGCAGGTGCTGCAGGTACCCTGACCCCCAACATGGGCTGGGGTCAAAGCTGGGGCCAAATCTGGGGCTAGGGCCAGGGCTGTGTGCTCAGCCTGGGGCTTGGGCCTTTCTTGCTCAGGTCCCAGCTGGTGTCCATTGGGCCGGGGTGGCGGTGGTGGCAGCTGGAAGGAGCCACCACTGCTGGGAAATGGAGTCTGGCCGTGGAGCTGCCCCAGCCCTGCTGCATGCCTGGGGACAGTAGGATGTGCCATGGGCCAGATGGTGCCTGACCAGGTGGGATCAAGGAACCCACTGTGGGCCAGACAAAGTTCCTCTGTGGGTTGGATTCAGCCCACAGGCCATATTTTGCCCACCTCTGGCCTAAATTAGGACAGGGTGGTGGTGCCTCATCCTCCTGTCCTGTGCTCTACCTGCACTTTTTGGCTGTAGGAAACAGCTGGAACAGGTAGCATGCATCATGGAGCACAAGGCATTCTAGAATCTTCAGTTTTGTAGAGCAGCAGTAGAGTTTGCTGTTGGTGGGAAAATAATGGACCCTATATTTTGCCACTGAAATCAGCATTTTTTTGCCCTCCCAACATGGGTCTTGACAGCAAAAAATGGGGTGAAAGTGTCCTCCCAGCAGTAGCGAACTCCATTCCCACTCTAGAAAACTACAATTTCGAGAACACTTTGTACTCCATGACACACACTGTCAGTGTCCACATCTGCTGGTTACTTCTGCTGCTGTGCATGGTGTTGTGTGAAATCCAGAGGCAGGGGGAGAAGGGTGAGAGAGGACTTCCCTTGGCATACTCTTTTCATGTTACATTTCTGGATCTGCTCTTACTGTATATGCATGACCTGTCTTTTACATCTCCATAAAGGCCCCATTGAATCAAAGTGACGCTATGAAGTTGCAAATGTCTGCTTCTGCCTATCCAACTGCAGGAACTGGGAAATGCACTTTATAAAAATGTTTATATTAGCTTAATCTGTAATGTAAACTGGATCGATTTGTACCTCTTCCTTTTTAATACTCAGCACCCAACTTGCAGGAATAATTTCTATGATTGCCAGAAAGTATAAGGAAATCTTTCTCCCGCCATCCCCAATCCCCCATCCCCCATTTGTATTTAAAGTGACTGAAAAGAAAATAAGCCATTTTGTTCACTGTGTGGCAGGTCTGTTAATAAAAAGCACTTACTTAGGAGGGCAGAGACAGCAGACATACCTGGTATCCTATTGAGTGTCACCCAGAAATGCTCATCTGGGCTGTATGTGTCCTTGGACCAGGCGAGTAAATCAATGGCTTGTTGGTCTTTCAGAACAAACTCAGTAAATTCCCTCGTGACAGCGATATAAGCAGAGCCAAAGTAAATGGTCAGACTGTGTGGAGGTGGTGCTTTCCGTACAAAGGTCCACAGCATAAAAGAAAAGACACTGTATATTTGTTCTCTGTAGACATATTTGGTCCTTCTGATAACGTGAGGAGGAGGCAATCTTCCAGGGGTGATGTTTTTCCCTTTACATCCTTTCAGATACTGAACTATTTCTCTGTTGGTCTTTAAGGGGAAATCTTGCCCGCACACATTGAGAACATATTTCCACTGCACCCTTGATTCCAGGAGGTCTTTCATGCAGTTCAGGTCAGCCTGAAGTCGAGATACGCCAGCATAAACCACTAGCTCCATTTGGGAGGCAAGAAAAGCATTAGGGAAACAGCTCACTAACTTCTCCACATCTTGCTTAAACTGAGCTGGTGCCTTCTTGTCCACATGGATGCAGTACACATTTTGGGGCATATAAATAGCCCTGAAGAGCCTCTCAAAAGTCTCAAATTCTTTATGTAGAGTCATGATATAAGCTAAAGGAAATACAGCTTCCTCTGCAGAGAGCGGGTGTGTTATATAGTGATTTTGGATCAAATACTCACTGCAGTTAGATTTCCCAAATGATGTAATTAAAGTATTTTCTTGTACAAAAAATGCCTTCTCATCAATAAGGGCATCACAGGCTCTGGCTAAAAGAGGACTTTCTGAGAGGTCTAACCTCCTAAGGGATCTGTGCTTATGTAAATTAACAATATAAACGATGACAGAAACTGCAACAGTAAGAACAAGAACAGCAAAGAACAAGTGCAATTTTGAATGCATTGTTCCTTAAAGATGTTTTTCCTACTTAAATTACTGCAAACCCAAAGTCATCTGACAGCTTGCTCTGCTGGCTTATTGTTTTAGAGTCATCGCTTCTTGATGCTTGCTGCAGAAGTGCTGCTAATTCTGATACGTGGTTGTTCTCTTTATGCTGCACATCATCTTTTCTAAATTGGCATCAACGGTGGCTAGTGAACAGGTCAAAGCTGTTGTACTGGGCTCTCCAGTTAACGAGACATCATTCAAGTGACTGGTTGGAAAAAGAAAATATAGGGTTAGATAGTTCAGAATGCCTCACGTGCCTGTAAAGATGTCCTATAAACAATGCAGTTATTTCACTTGATGTCCCAGGAAGATATTTCTTTTAACCCATCCAGATTTTTCAGTTCCTCATTAGTAACTTTTATAACTATGAAGGATTTGTTCATGATATAATGACGTTGAGTCAAAAGTCACTAGCAGGAATACAGACACTTAGGTTAGGTGTGCCAGCACTTAAATACTCAAGGATTGGGGCAGAGACTAGAACTTTGGTCTGACAGGCGAGTACCCGAACCACAAGGCAGTTGATCATTCTCATTCTGTCTCTGTCCCAGTAAATATTTAAGTATTTTACACAAATGGAAGCATTTTAGCCAGACAGACTGAGAGAATACTCATTTCCACTCTTCTCCCGCCTCCTTTTGTTCCAAGAAAGATTCCAGGAGTGCAGGAAGGGGTTGTGGGGGGAGGGGGAAGGAGGCATTGATTTAAACATGTAGCTACTGTTTAATTTTAGTTGTTTTTATATTGATTACTAAGAGAAACACATTAACACTGGAATTACAACATTAGCAAATATGCATGCCTATTTCCTCATATACTGCTCTCATTCTAATCGGGTTAGTCAGCTACACTATTACCCAGTTATACTAGAACCAGCATTAAGCATTCTCCCCAACATCTCATATTATTAGTTCTAGAGGCTAATAATATATACAAAGGGAAAGGGTATCTGGTGAAGGAGATTTTTGGCCTCTGTTGTTCCCTGTTCACAGGCAAGAGGGCAGGCGGTGGTGAGGAGAGGAAAGGTATTTTCTCATTGGCAAGGTTGTGTCCTGCTTCAGCATCCAGTTAAAGTTTACCCCGATTTTTCCCCATGCTTGGCTTGTGATACTTGAGGGGAAAAACGCAAAACTTAAGTCAGGGGGTAAGATCTGTAGGCTTGTGCATGCTCTCTCTCTCTTCCCACTTCCCCATATATATATCATTATATATATATAAAAAAATTATTTAGTTAGTCTATAAAGCTGCACATCTACTCTGACTTCTGACTGACTTCAGACTTACATGCCTAACTATCTCTCTGCAAAGTCTCAGAGCCATGGCCATAGTAATATCTCAGAGCCAGGACACCTTCATGCTAGGTGCTGTACAAACACAGACTAAACTGATGGGAAGCTCTTTCAAAGGAATGAACATCTAGAGTGAACACTTTAAATGCATTTACCCTCAGTTTTGGCAGAGACAAAACTGCTGGTTGATAATTTGTAAGGTCACTTCATTAGTGACGAAGTCTTTCTATCCCGTTCCCAGCATCTTTTGTAGGAATGCATTTTCAAAAACATATAATTTCGTGCATAACATTTTGGTCAGTCTCCAGTGTTCACAGCTGTATATTACTTCACTGGGGTAAACTAAACTAATTTAACTTGAACATGTCTTTGATTTCCACACAGTGCTATGTGTAGTGAATGCTATGTATGCTGTGCTTTTGAGTAATTGGATATTCCTG